ACATACATAATCTTGCAGAAATAAAATAAAATTTATTTTTGGGTAAATAATATATATATAAAGAAATTTTATGTAAAGTCTTTATTCTACATTTTTTGTTTAAAACTATAAATATGTATTGATTAGTTTTTCATTCATTTGTTTATTTATTGTTACGGAAAAGGCATATTCACATATTTGTTTTGTATATATATCTTGTACTTAAGAAATTTTGTGATAGGCACATATATAAATGTCTATTTTTTAAATTTATTGTTGCATGCTATAGCTCTTTTTAATCGTTTTAGATAAAGTTATCAACAATAGTACGTTGAAAATTTAAACGAACAAGTTTAATTTATTAATATTTTATATGATAAATATTTATTTTCATATGATTAATATTGCTAATAACAACTATTTATAAGTTTTTAAAATACTGTAATTAATTATTTATTTAATTGCTGTTAACTTAAAAAATTTGAATTTATAAATTACCAAAATCAAATATATTATTTAAATTACGAAGCTTTATAAGCTTTATATTAACAGATAAAATCAAATTTATAAAATGTTTATGGTAAAATGATTAACAAAAATTGTATACACATATTTAAAAAAAAAAAAACGTAATTATAACCTAAACAAACGCCATAAAGTGTTTGAAAGAAATATTTTATGTTTTATAACTGATTATTATCATAAAAATATGTATATTTTCAAAAATATAAATATTTTGAATTGAAAAAGACTGTTAGAAAAAAGATGTAATATAATAAAATTAAAAAATTTATGTAATTTAATTCCACAAATATGATGTAGTACAATGTTGTCATAATATTTACCTAGTATTTTATCTAGTTTTAAAAAATTGTTAACAAATTTATGTTTAAATAATAACAAACTTAGATTTTCGGATATTTAATAATATTTCATGCTTTTATAATAAAGAATTATTTGTTTTATAATCATGAAATCAGAAAGTAACTAGAGGAGATTTATGATAATAAGGCAAGCAAATAAAACAGATAAATATATATTTATTATTTAATTAAGAAAAAATTAAAAAAAATAAATAAAATTATATATAAAGAAAAAGGTAGATAATAATAATCAAATCGTAATCGATAAGAAGGGAAACAATCACAGTAAGCAAAAACTAGAAGTTTTAGTGACTATAATTAATAACACATTAATTATAATACACATTTCTAGTAAAGTAATAATATACAGTGTAATATACAGTAAAGATAAAGATTAAAATTTTGAAATTAATGTGTTGAATAAAAAATATTTCAAGAAGATAAAAAATCAAAACATCATAATTTATATTATTTCGATTATTTGTACATGATTAATATATACAATATATAAATATTAAAAAGTATTATATAAAAAAATAATATATAATTATTTAAAATTTTTTCTGTTATGTATTGTAATATATAAATAAAATATAAAGAATATATTTTCTAAATTTAATTAAATTGACTAAGTCCAACCATTTAAATGATTAAAAAATGTTAATCCATTTAAATAAAATAAAATAATTATATTTGAACAATAATGATAATGTCTTAAATCTAGTTAATTAGTAATAATGTAATAGTTAAATGTCAAGCTATTTCATTCAATATATGTATGGGAAATTAAATTTAGTATTTCGAAAATTAATCATAATATAATATAATTATTCAAAATAGTTTATACAATACGTAATATACCAAATTTGAAAAATAATTTTATGAATATTAGTTAATCACTTTATAGAATGTGCTGCTATAACAATTATCGTTATCTACCGCAATTAATCGACCGCAATTTAATTATCGTTCAGAAACTTTTTATACTCTTCTAATTCATGATCTTGAGCTGATAGTAAATATTAATTTATTAATTTAGTAAATATTATTAGTAAATATAACAGTATATAATATCAACGAATTTAGACTTTTAATGTAGTATGGGTACATTTGATGCACTTCTGTAAATGAAATTACATAATTTATTATATTAAGTTATTGTATTCTATGAATTAAATAATGTAAATAGTAAAATGTAAACATTATTTAAATTATTTATTATAATATTATATTTATATAATGTATGCTATTATATTATTATCAAATATTTTCTTAAATTTGAAAAAACTATATATACTACCATTAAGAATATAGAATCATGTACTAAATAGCAATAAGAAAATATTATTATAAGACAATATATTTATGTATAGACTTACATCGTATAAACGAACATATATTATAAACTATGATATTTTTTAATCTAAGTCTATACTCAATTATCATTTAATTTATTAAAATATAAAAAGCAATTTTAACCATCTCTTTAATAGTATCGATAAACTAAAATGATCTTTGTTAATTTTTCAGGGCTATGCTTAAATAGGTAAAACAACAAATTAAAATAAAAAGAAAATGAAAAATAAAAGAAACTTACTGTTCATTGAATTGCCAATTGTCTTTAACTAAATAAATACAAAAATCGTAAAAAAAAAATTCTTTTTTTTTATTATTACTTTTTATGTATCGAACTCAATAAACCCCAAGCATATTTAATTATTCTTTTTTATTTGGGTACACACATTTTAATATAATATTGTTATCACTATAGGCAATATTTTATCATTGTAGAAGTTATTTTTTATTTTGTTCTACAAGAAATTAAATAAAATGAGGTCAATAAATAATAGAAAGTTCAAGAAGAGTTTGTTCTTTATGTTAATTAAATTTCACGCGGAGTAATATCAATACCTTAAACAGATATTTAAGTAAATATTTTTGGTAAAAAAATTCACTGGTATAGTATAAAACAGTGAAGGAAGGGAGAGAGAGAGAGAGAGGGAGAGAGATGTTTGTTAAAAACAGAAATATTTAAGAGACATTTAAACAAAAGATATTAATATAAAAATTGAAAATTATATTATGAATTACATTTAAATTATGAAATCTCCTAGTGCTACACTACATTTCAATCAACATATTGTTTCTTGAAAACTAAAAAGAACATTTACAGTGTGTTGATAAGAATTATTATATTAGAATAATAATGTGTTATATTATTGTACTTGAAATCAGCAGTAAGTTGTGCTAATTTTTTTTAAAAATATTATAATATTTAGTTAAATGAAAAATATTATTTCAAATTGATACCTTTTAAAATATAGATCGTAAGACGAAATGCGTAATATATAGACAATTTTTTAATCCTATTTTACAATAATTGTTTTGTAAATGTAGAATAGATAGTAGTGATCTATAAATACAAAGAAATAATGAAATTTATATTTATTATGAGTAAATAATGAATCTTTTTAATTAGGAATATATTTATAATTCGATAAATATTACTTTGTATGTATCAGGCACATAGTTTTATTGGAAATTATACACCAGAAAGTATTATGCTAATACGCAATAGAAAAATGTTGAACAAATAAACGAAGATGAAGTAGTTATTATTTAAACTATATATATATCACAATAATTTAAAAAGCTATCGATTATAAATATTTAAAATAATGAAGAAAGTGTCAGATTATAGTATTTTATTGCATTCGTATATAAATACCAGATTGTATAAAGTGATAAAGAATTCCACCCATAATTCTAAAAACATAAAGATTATTTAGTATTACGATGTTAATGTGAAAAATATGTTTTTTTTTGTAAAAAAAATAAAAATAAGACAAAATTTGTCGAAGAAAAAAAATTTTATTCTTTTATTATAAATAACGCCATATCTAATTTTAAATAGTCGTTTTAATGTTGCACAACGATTAGAGGTTATATATAATTTAATTTTTTAATGAAATTATGTTATTTATATTAATTAAATTATGTTTTATAAATTATTTGTCTTATCAAGAGAAATAAATAAATGTTTATGTATAATTGAACACCTTTTTCCTAGATGTTATATTTATTTTTCGCAATAAAGTATAAGGATTACATTGATATTAAAAATGGATTTCTTAGGATACTAAAATTTTTGTTTTATAAAGTTTCTCTTCTAAAAATTCAACTATAATAACAAGTAAGTTATTTAAACAATTTATTATTTAATTTGAATAACAATATTTTAATGTAAATAATTGATATTAATAATACAATGGGAAAGTATTTACAATTTCAATATTATAAAATTTGTTAATAATCCTTAGCTTAGTTTTGTTTATTTTATTATTATTTTATCTTTTTATAAATAATAATTATTCAAAAATTTTAAATGCCAATAATGGGATTTCGATTAATGTTCAGTTAAAACAGAAAAGGAAGCACTTAACTGTTTAAAAATGAACACAAGATGCGCATGATCTTTGATAATGTTTATAAAAGGGCACGTCATAGTTTAGACTAATGGATAGTTGAAGAAGAGCTTTTAGATGTACACCTCCGCGTCGCTCTCCCCGTTTTCTCCGCCATAACATCACCTTTAGTCTCTCGTTTCTCTATACGTAACCTCATTCTATTACAAAAGCAAAGTTACAATATCTTACTCCCTCTCATGAGATATATCCGACTTAGTTTGCATTATAAAGTGATAATAGTCTGCACAATACTTCCTTTATTATAGGTGGAAGGCTCTTCTTCACGATATTGCAAAATTACTGTAATACTTCACTTTTGGAAAAATTATTTATACTACAAAAAATATATAGTTTAAAAATTTATTTATATCTGTATATTTCTACAAATATTTAATGAAAAATTTCATCAATATTTCTAATTAATTAATATTGAAATTCATGAATTTTATAATATGAAATAATCAATCATTTTAAAAATTCCAGATATTTATTCTGAAGAAATATTCTTTTATAGGAATATTAATAAAAATATGTATGAATATCAGTTTAAATATAGAATTTATCAATGAATCAAAACCTTTCCATTATTGAACAATAATAAATGCAACAAATGTAAACTGTAGAAAATTTTTAAATAATTTAGATTTTACTTTAATTTGAAAATTTAAGAAATTTCATTATTTTTTCAAAATACAATTACATTTTTATTTTTTTTTTCTTGTAAAAATAACAATGAAATTCATAATAAACTTTACTGTTATCATAAAGACAATACATAAAACTAAAAACAGGATATAAATCCCATTAAATCAAGTCATCTTTTGGATGCATTCCATCATTATCATCTTTCATTATTATTAGTCCTTTTAAATGTTTCATAATCAATTGTAAAAACTTGGAATCTGAAAAAATAATATTTTTATTCGATTCATATTAAAATAAATTTTTAAATAATATGTCAGTTAAATGTTTAAAATAAAAATGATTTTAAAAGTACAGTATTCAATAAAAGAGAGTTACATTAAATAAGTAGCAAATAGATTTTCAATTTTGATTTTTGATGTTTATATTGATTCTCGAGAATAAAATTAAAGGAAAATAAATATTTCTAGGTTTATAAAATCTTTAAGAATTATTTTTACTAAAAGATTAAATTAAAATTTAAAAATTAAAATCAATAATAAAAATATATATATATATATAATATTTATAATATATTGTTTTGAAAATTGTTTGTATTTCTAATAAAATAAATGATTATATTTTAAAACTTGTTTAAAACTGCCTTTTATTGTGGTTTGTATTATTATAAAACATTATTAACTGTAATTATGTAACGTTCCTATTTATTAAAAACGTTATATTTATAATTGTCGAATACTGAAAAGATATCAAGTAGCTTTAATAATATGATATATTCTAAAAATATTATATCTTTTTCTGGAATCAATCAAATTTATAATACGAAAGATAAAGAAAATATTATAAAATGTGCTGTCAATAATTTACAATTATCTTCATTATTTACGATTTGAAAAAAAATGATAATATAACATGACAAGTTTAAATTAAAGTTAAAATATATCATATATTATACAATAGATTTTCAATATTAACCTTTAAGATTTGTATTAACATTCTCGTTTAGGCTATCCAAGTCATCAAAATCATCGTCAAGGTGTGGTTGGTTCATAACATCCACCGATGGTACAGGCGTACGCAAATGTGGATTGGTTGGATACCATGGGTAGTTATAATATCCGACAGGTTTTTCTTTTAAAGTATATGTATGTGAATAAGGATTGTGCGGTATTTTATCCAGATTTATGGGAGAAGGTATATTTGTAGAATAATAATTTGGAAGTAATTTATCTGATCGTTGTGGTAGAGGTACGTTTGCAAATGGGAAGATCGGAGTTGGTCTAAAGTTATTAGGCTGTACAAATTGATAAAATTTTTGAATAGGATTGTTTTTATTGGGTTCGATAACTCTTTGCGATTCGTAATATATTTGCCATGGTGCGATTTGTGGGATTTGTGAAGGCAAATATCCATCTGATTTAAAATTTTTACCGGGACGTGCGTATGGAGATATCCATGGATTATATCCTATTTGTTGGTATTTTGGTTCGCTGTACATCCAATTTGGTTGTTTGATTGATGAGCGATAATCATTAACTGGCAAAAGATATTGTTGTCCGTAGCTCGCGTGTATTTGTTCCATCTGCGCACAGTAATTACACAAAACTAAAATATAATTATTTTAAAATAATTATAAAATTAACTAAACAATATAATAATATGTCTATATAAAAAATATAATATATATTAAAAAATTACTTTTAATAAATAATTACTATAATACAATATTAATTTATATGAATATATATAATTATAACATAATTCTATATTATGTTCTCATTATTATCAGTATATTAAGATTGTTTATATTATTTTTATCGATATATTAAATTGATTTTAAATTATTTAGTTAAGCCAAAAAAATTTTTATTATTTATACTATATATAATAAAAATTGAAAAAATAAATAAACAAATTTAATTGAACATATGCAGATGCATATAAGTTTCTTTATTTTTGACCAGTAACTTCATTTAATAGATCTGTTGTATACGTTTTGTAACATATATATACAATAGAAAATTAAGTGGATTACAGTCTCATTATCAATAATATTTTGATTCATTAAATTATATTTTTTAATACATTCTGCAAGATGAAAAATATTATTAGTATATTTCTTATCATGATATTATGAACAATTAAAAACTTGATAAATTGTATAAAAACCTGAAATATGTGATAAACATGTTTGAAGTTAATAATACAATTATTATTATTAATAACGTTATATTTTTCTTAAAATTTATTTATTTACTTCACTATTTCAGACAATATTATTAATTTTATTTAAATCTTGTAAAATATTTTACACAATGTAATAAAAATATGATTAATGCAAAATTATTTGCTAAATTAAAACAATGAAGAGATAGTTTGGTCAAATTCATGTTGAAAGCAATATAATTACAAAATTAAAAAATTGTGATAATGAAAAAAATAAGAAAATAATTATTTTAAAATCTATAATTTAATTTTGGATTTTTTAATTGAATTTGTAAGTTTTAATAATTATTAAGGCTTATACGAAAGTTTTTATCTTCAGAATAGTTTATTTATAATTATTTGATTTAAAATTTGATAGTAAATCAAATTATTATAAATTTGATAAAATAGTTAAATTTTACTTATGTCAACAAATTTAATACTTTTATGATCTATAAATTTTCAATAGAAATATTAATATTATACTTTTTTAAGAATCTTGAATTTCTGTAATAAAAAATTAGGTTTTTTTAACTATATTATAAAAAATTAATACTAATTAAAAGGATTTATATAATTTCATACTTATGCATTCAAGTGGTAAGTTTTTTATATGTATTGAAATATCGAGATGTATTAATTTTGATCTATTTACATTGGTTTAATAGTTTGAAATTGAAATTGTTTGGAAAAATCAAGAGTTTTGCAAAACAAAAATAGTTAATAATTAAAAATTATATCGAAATAAAAAAAAAAGAATTATCTGACATAAAAAGGTTTCATACTTTTACTCTAAATACGAATATTAAAAAAGCTATTTAATTGCTTCAATTAATCTGATTATTTTTCAATTTGAGGTGTTAATTTTAATATTTATGCAAATAAAAATATTTAGTTTCAACCTATTATTGCTTATTAAATTTTCGTTGCAAAATAAACTTTATGTACAGATTGAGAAAATAGATTATTAAATCGATAAATCTAGAATTTGTTAATCAAGTTTAATACTGTTAATTATTAATAATAATTTTTATGGACATTCTGACTATTATAATAATCATTTAAAGCGATTTTTGAAAATGAATGCTTAATGATAGCATTTATCGTTCCTGAATAATATTTCGTTTAGATAATAATAATAAATAATAAAGATGCACTTTAGTTTAAACTTTATATTAATTTATATCTTCATTGGATACCTGCAACCATCAAGGAAATTAAGAAAAACCTAAACATTATTTAAAGTGTACAATATTTAGTCGATTTATGAAAAAGCAGAGTATAATATAAATATGTTTTCAAAGAAGAGATTAACTGTTTTAATAACTAATTAAATAATTCATATAAGAGCGATACATATTATTATTTATAGTTAGTATTTTATAGTAATTTATAGATAGTATTATTCATTATATATATTATGTATAAAGTATACAAATATTTCAATATTCCTTAAAACTACATTGATTTATTCATTGTACTACATAATATTTTTTGTATTTCTTAGAGAGACAGAGATAGATACAGAGATGGAGAGAGAGAGAGAGAGAGAGAGAGATACATTTGTTCTAGGATGTAAGTTCATGTATGTGAAACTTGGATTTTGGTGGTAATTTTCTTGTAACATTCAATAAATTTTTTTAAGTTATCTCATAATATACATTACACATTCTATAATTGCATTAAAGTAATAAAATTCATATATCTTTGAAATTAATCAGATTTAAATTAGTTCTTTTGACAATTTATTATAATGTGATTCTAATATGCAGATGGTTGAGTATATAATTATTTTCAATTTTACTTGTAACTTGAATTCGAACCATAAATTTTATATACTCAATGAATTAACAAACATTAATATATTCATACCACCTATCTGTAAGAATATTATATTTTTCGATCTATTAATTACGAAATCAGTTTTTCCATCTGTCTATCTATTTGAATTGGATTTACTTATTCTTTCTGTCTGTTTGTCTGTCTGTCGTTCTCTCTCTCTCTCTCTCTCTCTCTCTCTGCCCCTCAATTATCCTTTCTAATAATTTATTTTTGTATTTTCCTCTACATTTTTGCGATACAATAAATTTTTTATAATTCAAATAATTTAATTCATTTCAATACAAATACAAAGTCCATGAAATTTTGTTCGTGGCATTATAAATTAAATAACATAATCAATATATTTGAAAGTAAAGATAATAAATATTACATATGATTTAGTTAATGTGTGTTGTTTAAATAAATTAAAATTTTTTAAATATTTTGTTATAAAAGTTAGAAATTATTTTTAGAGAAATATTAATTTTTTTAACTGTTTATTCAGATTCTGTTTCATAGATGTTTATTTAACTGACAATAAATAACTATGTCATGTTTAAAGAATATTTGAGCATAATAATAAATTTTCACTAAATAACAACAATTATATCTTCATATACAAGTTTCATTAAGTTTATATTAAGTATTTCTGGCAAATATTAATGTCATTAATTTAGAAATTAATATGACAAATTCAAATTATTTGCTAACTTTCAAATGATTAATTTTTCCACTTTTTTATGGAAACTTATGTATGCTACAGAGTTAAGTATATAAAGCATTGTATTATTAACGAGTTTGTATAAAAGAAGAACCTCTTTTAATTTAATTTAATTTAATTCACCTTATGTTAGTGAACATTTTGAAATTCAATTGACTGATCAATGATAAATCCAGTACGTTATTTTTGTTATATAAATTTAAATTCATTATCAATTATATATAAATTTTATACTTTATTTAATGGAAAGATTTATTGCCTTTACAAATGTATTGTTGCTGCAAGTTTCATGGCAAGTTTTTCACTGAATCGATATTCATATCAAAGTCATAGGTTCAAGTCTAAGGAAATATAGTTTAAAAAACTATATTTGTACTGTAATAAGAATTATTCGAATTTAATGAATGTAATTTAGAAATATAAAGCACTGTGAAATATTAATAAATATGTTTATGATAATATGTCATATTTTTAATATTTACGTTATTTTAAAAAGTCTTTTTTTTTACAATTTCTTAATATACTTTGTAAAAGTTGAATAATGTATAGTTGAAATCAATAGTATTATTGATTTATAACATTAAGTAATGTTAGTATTAAATAATGATAGTTTTTAAAATGATTCTTTTTCACTTATTGAGTATGGGATATTAGTTTAAGTATTTACTTTCCTATATTTTGCGCAACATGATAGGTTACATTAAATTAGAAATTCTGCAGTAATTATCAAACTAAGATAGATTTTTATAAATCATAATGAAATGATTTAATAATACAAATAAATTAATATTATCACTTCCAAAGCACAATACGTTGTTAAAATTACTAATAAAACAATCTCACATTTTTACAGAATAAAATAATTATTAATCTGTAAATTATTTATATTCTTACATTTCAAATTTAAATTGTATACCTTCAAAAGAATTTATTAAACATATCTAAAATATATAAAATATGATAAATTAATATAAATTAAGTGCAATATACATATACATATATATATATATATATATATAATGATTTATTTAAGAATATGTGAGCAATAGAAAAGCATAGAATTCCATTTGTTAATTATTGATTAAAATCTATTCAAATATTTTTATAAGTTAGTAATGCAAAACTAGCAAACCTTCTTCTTAATTCTAAATTTTGAAAAAATGATTAACTTCTGAAAAGATATAAAATACAAAAACAGATTTGTAATTTATGAGATGCATAGTGTGGGAATTTCTTTTTTATATATGACAAAGCATAATTTTAACCTTATGTATAATTTGTTATTACATCATAAGTAATAGATTTAATATGAGATATATTGTTCATTATAAATTCTACACTTTTTTTACAAACTATATTCGTACTCGTATGTAATTTAACTCTATTAGACATGATAATAATTTATAGTATAAGTTACTTTATAACCATTTCATTTCTAAAAGTTATAATGAACTTTCTCGTAGGATTCCTCGGAATTTTGCAAGAAAAGCTAATTACTTTTTTCACGACACTATGGGTAATGGTATAATACGAATCTATATTATGCAATAGAAAATTTTACTTTTTAAGTCTATTAGCAAGATAATGAAATGCTATAATTGCTTTTAATTATACATAGTATTTAGAAATAATTTATTACTGTAGCGTACAAGTTTATTTAGAAAACATAGGAAGAAATCTGATTAATATAGCTAGTATAAGTAAATCATTAAAAATGTCAACTTCTATGTTTATAATAGAATCTATATGTTAAAATATTTAATTGAATTTATAAATAAATAATGTAAATAAATAGTATGAATTTAAGAAGATAAGTATGATATAATATAATTTTG